CCCAGGCTCCTAAACAAACCCCCCCCCCCCCCCCCCCCCCCCCTCCTCTCACAAACTTCGGCTTGGCTTTCTGATCTTGATGAGCGGATGGCTTTTCCTTCGGGGCGTCTGCCAATAGAATCAATGGATCAATTGTAAGCATTGTGCACTGCGAAGTGTCTTGCGCGCATGGATGAGCTTACGTTTTTCACGTGTCGGGTGTGGTGGGGATACCGCGGGATACCTCGCCTCGCGTTATTGGTCCAACTACCAACTAACTACTACAGAGGAAACTCATATGTAATACCAGGTGCTTTGAGCCTTGTTTTTGAGGACTGACTTGCATGAAAATCGCGCAGGCGGAGGGGCTTGAATCTCGTTCTTTCTTGTGTGGTTTCCCCGCATTTGTGGAAAAGTGGACTTCAAGCCGGTGTCGTTGAGATGCTCGACTACAATGCCAGTGTGTGTGCTACGCTCTCGATGTACTTATGCGTTGCACAGTCTTGGTCCTAGAACAGATCGATTGCCTATTTTGAGTTCGGACTCATTAAAGCAAATAGGAGGCTAGTGGTTAACTATCATTTCGGGAATCTATCCTGAACCCCACTTAGCAGTAAAAAAACACTTTACCAGGCGCGCCAGCAATCCCTAGTCAATGCTTGTGGTTGATGTCTTTTCTACGGTACACGAAATGACATGGCTTGGGTGCGTTCCAAAAATAGTACCAACACGAACTCTGGTATGTGGCTTGTGAGGTAGCCGATGCAGAGGAAACTGGCTCACAACCTCCTATGTCCCGGGGAAGGGGGCACACTGCCGGTCTCCCAAGCCGTCATGTTGGGCCCCAGCTCGAACTCGATCGCGCCCCCATGTGCCAGGAGATCCTCGTGCTCGAACCAGTTCTTCGTCCAGACCTGTCCGTTGATTCTCACGCTTTGCACATAATAGCCCTGGTCCAGGCCATTTGCGATAATCCGAAGCGTCTGGTTGCCGTTGATGGTCACGTTGAGATCCGGGAACCAGGGCGAGGCAATCAAGTACACTGGCTGGGTGACCACCGGGTAGATCCCCAGCATCTGCCACAGAAGCCATGAATTCATTGCCCCTGCATCACTGTTGCCGGGGACTCCGTAGAGTGCGTCGTTGAAACTACATGGACGTTTGATCAATCGTACTCTTTGGAAAATCTCATTCCGTGGTACTCACTATTGGTATCCGAGGCCCCTCGATCTCTGAACGCTTTTTGCTTGCTTGTTGATGTAATTGTACAGGTAAGGCGTGGCGAAGTCAGGCTCGTTACTTAACCACGGTCATTAGTCTCACTTCGTTGTCAATTCACAAAGGGGTGTGTACCCTATGTTGATGATTGTCGTGATTCCAGCTCCATTCGGTCCGAGGCTTTGAACGGACATATTTGGCGCAAACTCCTCAGTTAGCTAGGGTCCTCCTGCGGCGGGGAACTCTTACCATGAGATCAAGTCGGGATTCGAACGTGTCCACGCCTCCCATTAGATCAACCAGGGTCTCCATGTCATGGGGAATGACGAAAGAGTATTCTAGGCATTCGGTGCGTAAGTAGACATTCTATCATACCATGGATGTCACTCACCCCAAGGCACGGCTTCATATGTATAGTCCAACCACTCGCACTTGTCACAGTAGCGGGGATCATATGTGCTGCTGTTGAACGTGCCGTTTGAGAACCTAGGTGCCAGAAATCCTGTGAAGTTCAGACTAGAAAAATCCGGATTCCATATATTCTGCCATCCAGCGGACCGATTCAGATACTTTTCCTGGTCACTAGGCATCTCTCCCGAGGCGACTTGGCTCAGCGCAAAATCATTCAGGCTGTACTCAATGGTTCTGGAAATACATCTTGTGTTACGATCTTGTGAAACATATCCAAGCTCGAGCCAATCGCCCAGGGCGCCGCGCCCCTCTTTGGTGCTGGCCGAGGGGTCTGTGGGGTCCCATGTGTTGTATGGAATCACCTCCGCGTCGGTCTTCATGGCGGCATAGCCGTCGGTCCAGTTGATCGCTCCGCGGAGGCCCTTGACGTAGGCATCCGCTAACACATTATCGGCATTGGAGCCGCCTTGGACCAGTCCATTCCAGTTTCCTGAGCGTCCATCTGGCAGGAAACCTTGGTGTCTTGGGGACGAAAAAATTATTAGTACCACTCTTCCTTGGCCCTGCTCATATCCAGGGATCATACCTCCATATATCGATCAGACCCCGAATCATAGACTCATAGTAGTCAGGTTGATATATATGGTAGAAACTAATCGTGCAGCGGAAAATGTCCCCTAATCGTATACATCAACAACAGTATTGAATCAATTGTTCTTCATACTGACACATTGTATAAAAGTCGTCCCAGAATGGCTCATCCGACTGCCAGAGAGGATTCTCGCCGGTCCGATCGGACGGCATCAGATGCATAAAGTAGAGAGAACTGTAGAGCAGCCGCACATGCGTCATATTCGCTGTTTCGTCCAATGCAACCCGAGTCTTGCTGAAAACATCTCGGTTCCATTCTTCCACAGCCGACTGCACCGTGTCATTCAAGTCCCAGGATGGAATCTCTGATTCAATGTAGGCACGGGCCTTTTCTTCGGAGATGAAGGATATACCAACTCTGGAGATAATTTGAGCGCTTGAAGTAGTGTTCCAACTGAAGAGCGCCCCGATGCGATCATTCATGGGTCCTGATGTGGTTTTCTTATCAGTCAAATTACCGTACACTGGCTGACTGATGCCACCGTTGGCGAAGCTCTGATAACGCGGCATCGGCTCGGTATTCCTCCCTGCGAAGGTGCGCGCTGTCTCTGGGGCTATAGAAAATTCTCCGTAGAAGTAGACTGTGAACGGCGCGCCTGGTACCCAATCAGCCTCTCCGAAGATATAGTACTGACGCAGGCTGGCACTCACCGTTGTTCCAGCCACCCATATACGTCCCATAGCCAGTGTAAGCCCGTCCCTCATCCTTCAGTTGGATCTCGCCGGCAACGTAGAACTGACCATTGGGATCATTGGGTGACCCGGGAAGATACTTTGGTAGATGTTAGCGCTGCAGCACCTCGAAGCTACCGGCATTGTAGATGTCATACATGGGAAAGATCGACCAGTACATGCTTTTCGCCCTCGGGGAAGCTATACTGGATGATTCCAGCGTGGCGAGAGGCCGAGAGCTCGACCTGAACGCCGTTCTGCAATCTTGTTGCAAAGTAGCCCACGCTGGCTGTATCATTACCGATCTACAGAGATTATGAGTCCAGGTCGATGAGTTTCGCTTCTCTCAGGCAGCATACCCTAGGCTGGGAGTAGGTCAAATTGTCGAGCAGATTCACCGGGGGCGCAATATCTGTGAGCGGCATCTGGGGAATTATTCCATATTTTGGTGCACCTCCAGTACCACTTTCATGCATCATGGCTGGGTAAATGGTGAAATGCTAGTCAACAATCGAGGACTTTTGATTGAGTGGTCACGTTCACCTACTGATCGCCGTGACATCTCCATCTGGCGTCCAACCCCCATTGAGGACCGCCAGGCTCCAGTTTGCAGCCGTAGTGTCGATACCTACCTTTGCCACGCCGAAAGGCCGAGCTCCCCCCACGAAAATATCGCCTCCTCCATAGCCTTTGCCTGGATAGGGTCCTTCCGAACCCATTAGGGCATTCACATATTGGGAGTAATCTTCCTTGATAGAAGCAATCGCCGGTACCAGGACAGATAGCAAAGCTAACAAGCGATGGCAGGTGGGCAAGTAAACGGAATGCATACTGAGTATACTGAGTAGCTTCCAGAGGATTCTGGAGAGAATGAACATGGGGCAGGAAAGAGGGGAAACTCACTGGGGTAGAAAAAAAGCTGCCCTCCAATTTTATCCCCCGCCGGGGAGGGGAATGCAGGCGATCTACGCGGAGATACCTGCATTTTATCCCTGACGTGCTGCAGCGACTGGCCACTGAGATTAATATGATGCTTGCTTGCTTTAGACTGGCACAGTCGGAATGAAGAGCGAAAGTGTGTCGTGTTGTGCTTTCTTCCCCGCATTTTGGTTAGTGAAGCAAGGATTCAATATTTGACACACACATGCACACACATACTAAACCTAGTCACCTTCTGGGCTCTTTCACAGTACCAATAATCGTACTTGGGCATTTGGACGGTCTCGTGGTAGTTTGTACTGCTGCTTATGGAAATCATCTTCCGCCCCGGACTTCACCCTTTCGAAGGAAAAGACGATGTAACTTGCTTTCATATGCTCGAACAGATGACATGCTCTCGCGGCCCAATCCCCACAAGCTTAGTCCAAGATGTGAAGTTTATACTCCGTACTCAACACTGAACTTGAGAGGCTATTTACTTGCCTATAACTAGTTACTTGGTTGGCTTACGCGGATGACTAAGCTAATCACGGCTGCTGCCTTCCCAGCCGGGATCGAATCCGAATTTCGTCCCCTTTTCGCAAACAAACTGGTCTTCATGATCTTCATTCATTTTATCGATGACTATGTAGCACTCGAATCCCTCCAATAGCATTTACGCCATGTTTCAGTGCTCTCGTTGCGACAAGTCTTATCAGAGAAAGAGTCACCTGCTTCGGCACGAGGCGACGCGTACGCACTGCTCTTCCCCTTCCGAGCCGGGGGTTTCCAGGCTAACAAGTCCAGATACTACTAAATCTTTCTCTTCAATATGTCCCATTTGCAATAAGGCCTTTCAAAAGCAGTAAGCTCACGTTCTTGCCGGGCCCCTTCCTCGTCGATGGGTTAGTCTGACAGGATTTAGGGAGGTCGCGCGACGACATAGTAAGATTTGTGCAAGGAAGTACAATAGACCCCCACCGCCAGCGTCTAAGCCTGGCCGGAAGAAACGCTCCTGTGATGAGTGTACCCATGCCAAAACAGCCTGCGACAAGAACTCACCATGTTCTCGCTGTAAAACCCTGGGTCGACAGTGTTCTTTCGGAAGTGTGACATCTTCGCCTACAACTATCTACTTGACATCTGTCCCACCTTCACCAGCATTCTCGCACAGTTCACTCGCAAGCAAGAGGTCGTTTTTCTTTCTTTCTCACTTCACTGATCCAGCTGTGGTGAAGGACAAGCTTGCAATCGCAGAAACAGCAAAAAGCTCTACCAAAAGGAACCTCGATGCCCTCCATCTAAACCTCGAAGATGCACTCAGCCCGTTCTACGCCATGCAGTCATTTATGAGCTCTTCTGCAACTGCAGATATGTTCTTTCAGCCTTCTTTCCTAGCAAACCAGTATCCCATCCTGGATCTCCCCTCTGAAGGCGCCTTGTCTTCGCGGCTCGCCAGGCAATTGAATGACTTGATGGTAGAGCTGGTGGAAACATCAAACTCTATGGGTCATGATAGTGAAGGCCCGAATAGGCCGCTTGATATCTCTAGCTTAATTCCGCTGTTTACAACTTCCAATCTTTCAATTTTCATCTCGACCTACTTTCAATCCCTTCACTGGCATCTGCCGATTGTACATTTCCCAACATTTGACCCAGGAAATGTGTCAAACTCCCTCCTTATCTCAATATTTTTGGCCGGAGCAATGTACGCGACTTCTCAAGATGGAACTGTCGTGCAACCTGGGCTGCTCGACGTAGCCGAGGAGTATATCTTTCGACGTGTTGCAAATTTGTCGACAGCATCAATCCATACCAGTCAACTCTCTCAATTTTTCCCAGAACTCGAAATTGTTCAAGCAGCCCTGATAATCGAGATGCTTCAGTTTGGACAGGGGGGTATGCAAACAAGACGGCGCATCCGGATCATGAGACATCCGTGTGTTATCTCCTTGATACGATCAATAGGCATTTTCCAATACAAACGAAGTACAACTCCCCAAATCTGCGATGAGCTCACTTGGAGGAAACGCATAGCGGAGGAGGTCCTTGTACGGTAAGTACCTATGATATAGATCACTGTCAAAGACATTTATTGAGACACTGTCAGGGTTTCCTGTTGGGCTTTCCTCGCGGACGGATTTCTCACGGTCTGTTTTAACAACCATCCTGCATTGTCTATCTTTGAGATGGATTGTGACTTTCCCTGGGACTCTGCACTGTTCGAGGCCGAAAGTACATCTGCATTCAATGAGCTTGTAGCTTCGACTAATGGAGCCCGACCCTCACTTCCAACTATAAGACAGTTCATCACCCGTCTACTCGACACGGACATCGGTGATTTGGTCACATGGAGCCGGTCACTTGTGGCAGAACACCTGCTACTGTTGATGTACGGTATGTGTAACACCTGGTTGGCCCCTTGAGATGACAGTCTCGCTAATAGAAAGTGGAATCAGCGATGCACTCCCTGGCGTTTCAGGCAAGGACCGGCTTACTCGGATGGATTTCACCAAACGCTATCAAGCTCGCTGCAGATAATTGGAAGCGAATTTGGGATTCAATTGGTGACATTGTTGGCAAAGAGAAGACACAGAGTCTGGGTTATCCCAAACATGCAGAGGAGCTTTGGTGGCTTCTAAATGCTACGCTCGACCGTACCGCTGGCCGGGGCAAGAATCTTCGCTACCTAGACACCGCAGCTACTGACGACTTGGGCAAACTGAACGAGTTTATTCATAACGTTGCGGCGGAAGAAGGAACACCTTGATTAAATCACGGTGTTCATATTAATTATTACAGTGCTCATATCATACATCTATGTACAGCATACAATAAAACCAACACATACCGAAAACGCCTCGATGGTTTGAAATCCAGCTCCTTTGGACCATCTATGCGACATCATATCTCTTACTCGTTCTTATGCTTCAATTCGTCGCCCTTGGCTTTGCGATATGTGCCACCCAAGCGGTCCCAGAACGTGGTGAATTGCCCATAATTATAGTTGAAGTACAGATGATGCAGCGTATGACACTCGGGTCCGTTGATCACTGCAGAACGCGAGAGGCATTCGGCATCGTCTAATCGGTTTGTCAGTTGTGATCGTGGCAGTCAACAACAAGGGAAGAGAGGGGGGCGTACGGATTGCGAGGGTCCACATAGTTACGAATACAAACAGTCCCAGGTAAGCGCACTTCTGCAGAGGGAACAGCATTGGGAAGATGTGGTAGGGCAGACTCTGGGCCCAGCCATCGAAAGGGTTGAACGCATAGCTGGCGTACGGTGTCGGCACGACCCACTTGTGGTGCTTTTTGTGCAAGAAACGATAGACGGAGGGATGATGCTCCCATCTGTGGATCCAGTAGATTCCCGTGTCCGTGAAGAAGATGAAAAGCGGGTATTGAAGATACGAATATCCAGGGAAGGGCTCCTGGCTCGCGAAGTCATATAGCTTGGACCATCCACGGATTTCCAGCAGGAAGAATGGAACAGTGAGGATGGACATAACAGGCATGGCAAATAGTCCTTGCTTGATCTCCTGTCGGATCTGCTGGTGCAGGATTCGTGGATGCTTCATCAGAGACTTGTCGAAAACAGTGTGGTACAGGATCGTGCTGCCAATGAGGTACATGAGAACACCGAATATCCTTCATGGACAGCTTAGTTAGCTACTGTGCACGATGAAGCCTAAGTAGAGAACAACATACCACATGGTGAAGAATAACGACAGGGCCTGTCTCGGGAGATGGTCACGCTTCCACCGGCTCGCATTGGCATACTGGGACGCTTGCAGTGGATAGTAAAGGCCAATGTGCTGGTTGTAGAGGAATTGAGTCTCCATGGTCGCATTGCCCGGATACATCTCATAGCTCGGAAGCACTGAGGCATAGACCCGATCGAAGACAAAAGTGTCGAGGATATCAAGCAGGACATCCATACTGGCGATTGTCGTTGTCGATGTGCTTGGTCGAGTTTAGGGCTGGCTCATACCAGACAGGGTGGATGGTGCGGTGCTGTTGCTTTATAGGACGAATCGGTCAAATCTCGTTCCTTGCAGGTAGTAATATTGAGTTTGGGCACATGGGGGAGCTCCTGCAGGATAGGCTTTGCAATTTAGGTTACTCTTTGATTTATATACGGGGTTTACCTACCTGGTACTTTTCGGTGATTCCCTACACGGCGATTCCCTACCGCGGGAAATTCCCTACCACCGGAGCCCGGGTATTCCAGTCAGACCACTGATTAAGGGGCGACGAACAGTGGCGTGTTGGTGATATGTTTTTTATCCCGTTGTTACTGGTGGGTTATACATGGTAGCCAGCCATTGATGATAAAAGGAGTGTCTACTCTGAGTCCTACCGCACAGTGTACTACTGTTACCGAGCAGGCCCTTGTTGACCGGTAGTATTTATATGTTATTCCCAGGTGCCGCCTACCTCATTACAACCGCCTGAACTGTGCTTATTCGGTCGGTCTTCTAAGTCTCAAACAGCAGTACGATTGATTGAACAGTCACAGAGCCAAATATGCGAGAATGGTCCAGGTAAATAGTCTATTGTCTTTATTGAAGCTATGGTGAAAGAACAATGTCCATTTGATAATTTACTATATTAGACCTAGCTGTGTCCCGACATATATAAAATGGCAAGATGGCCGAGTGGTCTAAGGCGCTAGTTTTAGGAATTTCCGAAACACTAGTTCGAAAGAGCGTGGGTTCGAATCCCACTCTTGTCAGTAACTTTTTGTCCTTGTACCTTGGCCACGATGCTGTTGTATCAATCAATTTTTTGCCAATCGTTCTTTTCGGCCACTCTGGAGCATCAGGTAGCCGGCTCAGCGTCATGTCGTGCCCTGTATGTCATACGTTACAGTCATCCAAGGGTCATGGTTGTGCGGCGCATATGCTTGCTTCTTCGGAGAAACTATCCGCTCTCGGCGTCTTTCCGAAGGCATGCCCGCCGCACAGCGAGACAATCACGAAAAACCCACCAAAAACCGACGGGCAGAGGGAAGCCACACCAGCCAGGCCAGATTCAATCCCGCGCTTTCCAACTTTCTCATACCCCTCTCCAACTCCGCCTTCTTCACCCCCCCCCCTCCTCCCTCCCACCTCTAATTACCCTCCAAAACTCTCTGTTTCGTCAAAATGGGTGTCACCTTCGACAAGTGCGAGGCCCGCCCGGCCAACATCGATGCCATCCTCAACGGCCTCGACAGATACAACCCGGAGACGACCACGGTATTCCAGGACTACGTCGCCCAGCAGTGCGAGGACCGCACTTTCGATTGCTATGCCAACCTGGCCCTGCTGAAGCTGTGAGTGTCTGTCCCTTCTTCGCTCATGCGCCTATTATCCTACACACTGCACCTCCTTCCCGAGAACCAAGCGCTCCGACGCGGGGATAAGAATAAATGGTTTTTATATGATGAAGAAAATCTCATTTACAATCACGTTTCCTATTACCTGACACCCTATCATGGGGCATGTCGAGATCTCAATTCTCCTGAAAATGAAAGCCACCCAAGCTTCTATTCGTCGCACACTGCATCGCTCCCCGCTCTAAGTTTTGACGGTAGCTAACACGTTCCTTGAATTGTCTTTGATTTCCAACAGCTACCAGTTCAACCCTCACCTTCTCCA